ATAGAAAAGAGAGGTCGAAAATTTCGTTTCGTTTACCAAAGAAAAACAGTAAAACTATCCTTCTATTTTATTTGAAGGCATCAATTTTATAGACACCAAATTTTCTACTTCATTTACGAGCCATAAAATCTATACTGCGTATATTCAACGGATGTAAATAACTACAGCATACATTTTATAAGCGATTTATTCATTGACCATTTACCATTGTTCAGACCATTGATTTCGTCTACATCACAATTATTGCACATTTCTAACTCAATCATGCCATCATCAATTCATCGTTGCATATATATATTTTTTTCTTGTCTGTTCGATTTTGATGAACATAAGCAGTGACGAATGATTGTTACTCCTGTTTGTGTTTTTGTGGACGAGTTTCATCGCAAAAAAAAACGAATTGACTCTTACAGAACTTGTTAACGCCTCGCAATAGAAATGGAAAAGAAAAGAAAAAAATCACATGGAAAGAAGACAACTTGACCAACAACTTACAGCTGAAGTGAACCCGGTTAAAAGGTATGCACCATTGATATGCACGCTGTGTATTGTGTACATGTGAACGATGTCGCTTTAAATGTTTGTTTTTTTTGCTCCTCTTTTGTGTCAATCATACTGTAATATAACTTGGCACTTAATCTGGCGTGATGGGTTTCTGTGTGTCGCCCATAAAATCGATCGTTCTTGACATAATGCCCATTCTAACACATATCCACATGTGCCAACACACACAAACTCACACACATGCACACATGACAACATAATAAATTTGACAGACACAGAGATAACGTAATGCAATGTATAGCAGGAACATAAGAAACGAATTAATTTTGATGGAAAAAAGGAGGCACGCTTGTGTAATGGTATTTTGTTATTTTACGTGATGATTATTACTTGAAAGTAAAATTGGCTTTATATTCACTTTTATTAATGTTATTCTTGTTCGTACTACCCGACTCACAATGTTTTTATCGTCAAGGTAGACAGAGATACTGGTACAAATAACATACATGCACTCACACATTTGAGATTTTAATAAAACGTTTTACTACTGAAAAGAAAATAATTTCCGAAGCTTAAGCAATTAAATTTTTAGACAAAACAAAGCATGTGTACTTTCGTATGTTATCCCGTATGTGAAAAATATGAATGACTTTTTTTCGGCACAAATTAACTGACCATTGATCGGAAAACTTTAGTTAACCTTACTGAATTGAAATTCTAACTGTAATCATAATCGATAGTCAGATAAAATTTCGCAACATAATTCTAAACAACTTCTATTCCATAAAATTTTGGAATTTATGAACTTATTAGCCAGCCATAGGTGTTCCAGCTTCCAACCAATTTTGACAAGATTTCTTCGATTTTCTGGTGTTTTTGAATAAACTACTCCACCCCGTCAACATTTTTAATGAGAATTACATTTTTTTTTTTAATTAAATTTAAAAAAATCAATATTTTACAATAGACACAATCGACTATTGACGGGACAGTCTCTACATGTTTGCCATTGACACTCCCTAAAATTGTGGGTGTCTACACTAAACACACATAATCTATAGTCGATTCTTTTCATGAGGGATCTCGGAACAAAATAATTGTGTGAGCCACAAATGTAATGTAGTTCCGAAACTTCGAGCTACAGATGAATATGAAATACAAGAAAGAAACTAAATGTAGGAAAAGAAGTTGATTAGCATTTATTTTGGCACTTTAATAACATATCCCAAATGAAAACATTCGAATGTGGATGTGTTTATTTGGGATCTCATCTATCCACTTAAATGGAAAAATACTCAACTTGAATCAATCTTTTTGTTTATCACTTGAAATGACATCGAAGTCACGTTCCAATAAGAAAATGCACATAGCTTAAACGTGGCAAAAGCGTACGAATGAATTAATACTAAATAAAAGGCTGGACGCACACGTGGACCTTTGTCATTCATAATCTCCAGAGTTCGATGCAAAAAAAAATTAATTATATTCTCTAAGTATATTTCGCAAAACATTTGAAATGATTAAATAACAAATGGATTTTCTTCTTGAACCACTTATTTTTCATTTTCTGATCTAGATGTGCGACCACGTTTCTCTACATAAGCTCATGTAACAACTGTAATATGATTTCTTCAATTGTAAATATCTAATGTTGTATGCACCGTATCAAACATACGTTGTCGACAATACAAAAAATAATAATAAAAAATTGAAAAAAAATAGAGTTCTTTGTATTTTTTCTCGCTTAAATGTCAGCGACTTTTTTATATATTTGTAATGAATATACTTGTCAAAGTTTCGTAAAAAAAACTCCGTACGAATCGAAAAAGGAAAAAAAATACATCGCTCGAGTAAAGCATCACGTGCTTTGACGATATAATGTCATCATTTGAATTACCGCTATGAATAAATTTACGAATGGTAAATATCTTGCTTTCACTGCAAGCTCATACCATGAACTATTGGCATTGATAATGATTTTTGATAGCGCCCAAGTAAAGCCAATAATCGCAACACATCCTTGATTAATTTAATGTACACGACATTTTCATTGACATTAATAAAATAAGAAATGTGCGCATACCATGTACGTGTATCTATATGTATGTGATGTCTAATAAAAAAAAGTACAATGAGACAATGACTTTCATTAAACTTGTAAACAATTTATTGTGCTTGACAATATAGATAAAGCAAACCAACAATTCGACAATGCTAAAATACACATTGTCATCTAAAAAGGATTTTATATATTCGAAGGAGTTACTCTCGCATTTCATTTATATTTGTTAACTACTGTTGCAGCATGCTTTACTTATATGCAATGAAATCACATATATTTCGCACAACTGACGCTTCATTCCATTTTTCTTTAAAAAAAAAAAAACATTTAAATTTTGTTAAAACAGAAGCGTTCGCAACGATACCTGACTACAGACCGACAACAGTGTTGGTGTCGGGGTCGATTTCAATAACTTACTACTCGGTGTTGTTTCCAGCGTTATAATAACTTATCCAAGTGCAAACACCAAAGAAATAGAAATAATATTTGTTCTCTATTTTTCACAATAGATTTTTTCAATAAAAAAAGTAATATAAAATGTGTTGTACGGTTTCCAAATAAATAACTTCGAATATACGCATCCAATTATATCGAATGAAGTACACAAGTGGAACATTCATATTTCTACCATTAAAAAAATCACATTTTCAACATAGAACGTGCACACTTACGAATACCATATACACATTGGAGAACTACGAATATGTACGACTGAAACTTGGAACTTGAACCATTTCTGTTATGAAACGCTCTAGAATTAACAAATCAATTAACGTGAAGAAATCAATTCCAATACACTGCGAATGTACTTGGAAAAAATGCTTGATGTATCGACGCATAAATAAGTGGAATTTAAAAAATATATCTCATCTCCAGAAAAACTAACCATTTTTTTTTAAATCAAAATCGTAGAATTCAAATTCAAGGTGCAATGTACAAATTGTTTTCAAATTCCCATAAAAATTCTTAGGAAAAACCTAATTTCCAAGGAAAATATTTTTCCTGGATGGAGACGATTGATAAAGCTTGATGATCAAACAATACACAATCCAAACAATAAATCATTATATTTTTTACGATTTATAATGGCATTTTATTTGGCGGTGTATTAAAAAAAAGATGAAGTCGATGACAAAATCGGAGAATATTATGGTGTAATAGTAAAAAAAGAATCCATTCACTAATCTAGATCACGAATCGAATAAATTACGTTAGATCAAGTGTATTGAAACAGCAATCAATGCTCATAGTTAAAAGCACTGTTGTATACTATTTCTCCTGAATACATATAATTTTTATAATTGTGCACTTTTATTGTAATTACTGTCGATAACTTATAAATAAATCAGATATAATCTATCCAATACTTCCGTACAAAATCAAAAGTTCGTGTGTTCGAATTCAAAATTACTATCAAAAAATGCACACATTGAAAATTCATGTAGTTTTATCTGGGGGGTAGTCACAAATTCGGAAACTAGAAAAAATGAGAACTCATTAGCGCATGTCAAATGTACACGTTATATGCCTTTTACCAAAAAAATATAAAAACAAGGAAAAAATAGCACCACTAAGACCTGTGTCTCTCCCCTAGGTTTTCAATTTCAATATGCTCCAGTAATAATCAAAATTTCTCATATATCAAAAGAAAATACTTATCAAAGGCGTTTTTTTTTTGTTTAAATGTGCATACATTCGCCGGCAACTATCATTTTATACTGTCTATCATTTTGAATATTTACTGATTTTCTCCATTGTATGCATGGTGCAAAGAAGAATTGCACAAAACAAAGAAAGAGAGAGAGAGAGAAAATAGAAATACACAACAATAGCACAAAATATAAAAAATGCATACGATCATTTCAACGATAGCTCAAAACTAGTAATTTATTTAAATAATATCGTGTGCATCAAAAATACTTCATTGTTATTATAGAGTCAGTCATTTGCTAAACGACATTCCGAGTGGACACGAATGTTATTGAAATGAACAAAAAAAAGTAAAATAAAAAAAAGTGACCAGTTGGACGGCCACTTTAGTTAAAGTTCAGTGAACGTGATTTAGATCTGGACTATCATTATGATTATTATTACTTTCGGTATGGTTATAAATATATGCACGCATATACGTTCTTTTGTTGTCGAATAACAAGCAAAAGAAATGTCAATATGCCGCGACAGCAACAGCACTCTCATAAAATCATTCAAATCATGATGGTTGGCATGTGATAAAGTAGGTAAATTCTTGTCAAAATGAAGAACAAACCGAAATTTCAATTCCATTTACATATTTTTCGCATTTTCGACTGCAATTCGGAACAAAAGCAACAACAACAATAAAATATTCAAACTAATTTTAAAATGCAAAAACGGCGTTGTTATTTGTAGAGAGCATATAAATATAGTGTCAACACATAGTGAAACAAAAAAAAACCGGAGAGAAAAATTACGAGATGGAAAAGGAGTGTATGAGAGAGAGATAGAACATAGAAAGAGGCTAACTTTATTTATAATTAAGATATTATTATGATCACAGCGATTCTTCTAAATTGTGGAATGCATTGTTTGCAATCAAATCTGAAATTTATTCAATGCAATGAGACAGCAGTTATTCCACAAGATCATTTAAATTGCCATATTTATGTAAGTATCAAGCTAAGAATAACCACGTTAATTTAAAAATTAAAAACACACACAAACACAAAATCTCACATCTCTGACTAATGAAAGGAGAATGTAATTAATAATAGATTTTTTTTGCAAGTGTCATACTTGCTCATTTTTTTTTATTATTATTGTGAACTTCTCCGGGAATTTATATATCGGTGTTGCAATGACAACACTTTATGTAGTTAACACTCAATGTATACAAAGCACTCATAGAATATGTGACTCTTATAACAACAACAATGCACGTTTGAAATGAAAAGACGATTCGCTCTTTAAAAAAAATTGTTATGTTTGGCCGTCGAAGTTCCATTAATAAAAAAAAATTGTGTGTATGTATTCCAAGTGAATTTTGTTATTGAAATTGTGCAACGATCTCAATATTGATGTGACTTAATGAAGTGTTGGAATAATAATCAAAGACATAGTGATAACAACTTTACAAGTGTGTCGATTCAAAGATTCATCAAAACAGAATCACAATCACCAATCGGCAAGCGACAAATCGACATCGACACTGAACATCTACTAGATGTGAACGTGTATGTATTTATTATATTTTCGCAATACCGCCCCCACCACCACCACTAACCAATTATTATCGATGAACATTGATGAATCATTTGGAAGTGTCATCGAATTGAACAACCCAAATAGATTGATGTGCTTGAATTAATTTGCGTGAACACTTTCATATCAATCTTCTGCATCAAAATAAATAGCAATGTACTTGAGATGTGAAAGAAGAAGATGGAACCGAAAAAAAATAAATAAATAAATAAATTTCTATTTTACGCGGAACATGAGTGGCTTTGTCGATTTATTATATCATGGGAATTTTGTGCGCTTCTTAATAGCTCACATTGACAACCGAATGACAGAGCAAGGAAGCGTTAATAAACATGATCGTTTGTGATGGGCTTTGTATTTTATCAAACCAATTGTGACAGACATTGCAATCCATGAGTTTTATCGGCTGTTGTGCTTGTATAAAAAACACGTTCTCGGCTAGGGAAAAGCGAGTGCGAGTGTGTGTGTGTGTTCGTGTGTGTGTGTGAGAGAGAGAGAAAGAGAGTGAAAAAACCCCAGAGAAATATAACAAAAAGCGAATCGTCATGCACGCAATTTGTTGACTCGTTCACTAATTCGATGTATCATGTCAGCGAGCGAGCGATTCGCCAACGATACATTTTTAACCGACAGTTTATTTATACAGTCTGCTACTGTTGCTCTTTTCTGTTGCCAACACTGTTGCTGTAACTCTTTTTGTTGACTGATTGTTTCTGTTTCATTCGTGCGCCAGTTTAAATAATGGCAAAACAGGCAACACAGCACAGAACAGCAATATCACGGCGCAGATTCAAACAAAAGTTGCTATTATGAATCGAATATCAATGAGAATGTTTAATAAATTCTGAAAATATAATTGAAGCAAAATCTATTATTCATGCATTAATGCCTAGTCAATTGATTTCTTGTATGTGATGGTGTTGATATTGAAAACTTGAATAGAATGAGACAACAGACAATTGAAGAAGGAGCAAAGTGAAAAAAACCACAACAATCATCAATATACACACACACATACACATATCCATATTGATCATTAGCATAATACAGTAATCAAAATCGCACAATAATTAGACACTAAATTATATGATAGGCTGTTTGCCAGTAGGGTACACATCGAATCAAACGGCATTTAGACGCTTTCAAAATGAATAACCATTTGTTTAAATTTATTTCGTTTTCTCTCTCTCTCTCTCTCTCTCTCTCTCTCTTTCGTTTAAATTGTGTTTTTGTGTCATACGCGTTTTTTCTATTTGTTTGCCTAGATGATTAACCAGAAAAAAAGAGTAATAATGAAACGATGCAATTCATTTAATCAAAGAACAAAACTATAGTCCTACCCATATAACTCATTTGCGGAGTAATTTTGTCGATGGCGGGACTGTGCGGAGTTCGGCGGAGATAGTATGCAAATGCTGTGTATACGAGTCCAACACCATTCTTTGCTACTCATAGATTTATTTTGTCCAAACGAACATCACATAGAAGTGCTGTTACCCTCGCACACACAGAGTTTGTATGTCATCTCCGCCAAACTCCGCACAGTCCCGCCATCGTCCAAACTACTCCGCAAATGATTTATATGGGTACCGAGAGCAATAAAAAAAGAATCGAAAATCATGATGGTCGTTTGAGTTAAGTAGTACTATGCGTTTATTTATTGAGATGCAAATAAGAAATCCTCAGTGGATTCTCTCAAATCGATTCTAAACACAAAACATAGAAAAGACAAACACTATAAATAAACAAAGCAACACTCTTGCTACTGCGATCATATCAACGAAAATACATATGGAAAATGATAATAGTTTAATTCCCACATTTCGTATTCTAGTGATGAAATATCAACAACAAATAAGCCTTGAAATAAGCCCATCAGCGTCTGACAAACAAATCTTGAATTGTGTACGAAATCGAATCCAAAACCAACTTGGTTCTTTAAGTTCTATCGAATCAAGCGCGTTCAATGAAAATTTATCTATCTCCTTGGTAAATGATTACATACGAAAAAGAAAAAAAACTTCCCCTCACCGTACACTGTGCACCGAGAAATGTGTATTTTTCGTGGATGAGTTTGCGCATCATCTCCTCCATTATACCTAAAATAAACTGTGCCGATCATATTTATTTCAAAGGCTAAGATATTTTTCTCCTGCGGTACAAATCTTCCCACTTTTCTTTTCGGTCAATAATTTACATTGTTTCTCCTATCTTCTGCTGTTTCTCGATTTTCATTCAAATTTTACCGTTAGAACATTTCTTATTTATTATTGATATGAACGTTACGCGGTAGACAACACCACACACATTTATCTATACTCATTAATCAATTTGGAAAATTATCAGTTCAGTTGGTTGGTTTGAAAATCGACCGGGTTAAGTTCGTTGTAACGAACAAAAATGGGATAATTGTGGTTTCGAATGTATGTGCTTGTGTTTTGTTTAATTGTTTTTTTGTTATTCGGGTGGGAATTCGAAACGAAAATAAATGAAAAGACTTCACAAAAGCAACGGAAATGCTAAACAAATCGAACCCATTCAGTGTATGGATGTGTGGTTCAAGTAAATGGTAAAACGAAACAAAACCAAGAACAGAAGATTTACAATCCCGAGCGGGACCACTACGCACGCCACTGACATTTTCTGGATGGAGTAGCTAACCAAAAAGGAAACGAAAGTTGAAGCACACATTTCTTCTCTTCTTTGGTGTTCGGTCGGCATTTCAGCAAGCACATCCAGTGTGTGTGTGCATGAGAGCGAGATTTGTAGCATCTCGTGCAATTCTATAGTTAGTATTTCACACGACGTCAATAACATAGGACGGCGGCATGTAAGTTTCGGTGTTTTTGTGCACGAAGCAATTTCAAGTATATACACAATTTCATTCGGTGTTGATGCGTGCAACGAGAACAACACTCATTCACTCACTCGCTTCACAACAAAACATACGGAAAGTACGATCAAAACGCACGCGGACCTCACAGTGTACACACATCCAGTTTCGTATTTCGCACTCTTTTTTTATTTTCTGTGCGCGCGCTCTCTTTCTTCCGCTCCCTCGTTATCTCCAAAGTCTTGTGAGTGCGATATGTTCGATTTGAATGATATTATTTCTCTCGTGCCGCTCGATAAGAATAAACGTTTTTCGATTCGCAAATAAATGCCAGTTATTTCGAAGTAAATTTGACCGTTTTTTTTCTCTTTCGTCAGTTGTTGTTGTTGTCTGTCAATTCAACGTGTGTTTACGTGACTGAATGTGTGTTAGTGACAATTTATTTATTTCTCTGTAAAAAATTCTGTTCATTGGATTCGTTTTAATTTTAATTGTCGCCTTCCAGTGAATAAAAGTGTTTTATTTTCAATAACACCTATTGTTTGCTACTGCAAAATTAGTTTGTTTTATTTTTTTTTATTTGCTTTATTTGGTTCAGTGTCTTTTTTATCCCATTTCGTTTCGGATTTTTCGTTAAAGTTTTCAACATTTTTATTGTCGTCAAGCAAATTTTGAAATGAAACTGAAAAAAACAATTGATATTCTCTTCTGGTTTATAGTACCACAAGCTACACACATTCAGGATGGGCAGCCAATCAAATGTTGCAGCAAATAGTGTAGAATAGAAACGAAAAGCGTGTGTCGTAAAGCTGGTGGATACTAAAATTAAGTGTAAATTTAAGTGTGTGAATAAATGACAGAGAATTAATTTTAAAATTTTATAACGAACAAAAATTATTGAAAATGAACCCAAATAAATAAACACTTCCAACGTAATACCTTTAAACATTATTTTTGAAAAAAAAAAAACCAATTCAAATTGGCAGTAAATTTCTGTTCTAATTTTGAAGTACAACATTTCAACAAAGAAGAAGAATTTAAAAGAAGAAGGAAAAAACAAAATAATCCAAATTTGGTATAACGAGTATGTGTGTTACGAGAATAAGAGCGCTCGAGTTCCAATTTTTTTTTACTCACACTGACCATATGAACAACTCGTTAAAGTGAATTAAATAAGAAAGCAAAAAAAAAAAAACAACGACAACAGTAAACGAGAAATAAACTGCTGATCGTCCGTGCAGAAGTAAACACATATTCTGGACTCGTGCTGCATTTCATTGGTTGAGAGCCACATGTCGAGAAAGCACCAAATCTTGGTACGTATCAATCTGAGCACAACATTTTGCACATTATTTTTTTACAGTACAGTTTGTCTCCCTCTCTCTTTCGATACATAAAATGTAAATCATTTTAGCATGCATACGAAATGGGTGATAGCGACATATTATTGCAATCACACTGTTTTTGCTTGACACTGTACGCACCTTTCTCATGATGCAATTTTGCCTTTTACTTTAATATTGACAGGTATTGCATTGTTGCTTGTTGTGTATGTGTGTGTGTGTGTGTCTGGGTTGCGATGCAGGTTTTGTTGTTGGCGTTCAATTGTGTATTTTCACATTGATTCGCATTGTGCAGTTTCGAATGTTTTCTGCATTTAATGTGCGGATTCAATGAATGTAATTAGTAAACAAAAAAATGAGCGCACGCACATTTAATATAAACTTGATTACTCGATCAAATTGTCCCACTCACTCTTCATCACATTACCGAGAGATACATACAGCAACAGCAACAACAACAGAAAAGCAGCAAAATATTCAGCGCTAAAATAGATAATGACCAATTATTACACAATTTTCTGGTTTTACATTTCAGCGTTTATTACATTCCTTGTTTATCAAATCGCCATTTGATCCATCCGTACCCGTTACCGTGCATCGGTGATCGACTACATTTCACCATCGTTACTTTAATCTCATAACTATGATGTTCGTGCATGGCATATAATATTCGAGTTTTGCATACTATCGCACATGCACACATGATAAAAGTGACAGAAGAAGAGACAACAACAAAATGAATTGTATTCTGAACTGTCGCTCTTTTTTTCTCGTTCGTTTCATAATTTTCTTTCTACAACTCTATAGATTCAAAATGTTTGTTAATAACCATATCTACTTATTATCTGTAAGTGTTATGCGTGTACCTTTTTTTTTTGTCATTATCAAGCACGAACATACACACACATTCGAATATGCCAATGAATATATTCGAGAATTTGTAATTGTACCAAAATTAATATAAACGACAAACATTAAGTAATTCTCAGTCATTTATTCTATTCTTTTATCGTTCGACTCATTTATTGATGGTGACAAAATGTAATGAGAAGAAAAAATCGCAACAAATACACACTATTGATTCGGAGTATCATGTAAAACTATTTACAGAATAAGTAAAATGATTATACTGAATCATTTACGTACGCACTAAAATGTGTGTATATTTGCTCAAGGCTACGACATCAACTTTTACTCAGAGAATATACGATTCACATAAAGTTATTTCATACAAACGAAAAAAAAGAGAAACAAAAACAACAACACACAAACGCAACTTCATTGCAAACAAATGCTATTCAGTTCGCAAAAAAGTGTTATCGGATCCAATGATTTGGATGATGTCAAATACACAGACGCAAATACCACGCACCCAAATGGAAACTTGCCAAATGAATCAATGACTAAAAAAACAAACAAATACATGCACATGCATAAACGGAAAAGTATCATAATAGCGAAATTACATTGAACATACCATCGATATGGAAATGGAAACTTGTATATATAAAGAAAAACTTGCGGACAAAATGAAAAAGTGGTGTATAGAGTTTGTGGCACGTTTTGATCGTGCTCGGTTTGTTTGAATATTCTCCGCTCTCTCCCTTCAACTCTTTTTCGCTCTCGCTACTTTTGTTAATGAATTTTTTTTACAGCCATCGGTCAACCAAAAAGGCGTCTATTTCAAAACGTTTGTGATTGTGTTTGCTTTTGATCTATTTGAAATGCGATAGTGTTCGTTTTTTTTAGACGAACAAAAATCGCCCCGGCAAAATAACGGTGAAATTTATAAAACCGTTGAGCTATTTATGCCAACACATGGCATCACTGACGACATCACACCATTTGACATTGGATATAATATTATTCCCAATCACTGCTGGCACAGCTCATTGGAATTTATTTTATAAACAGAACATAGTAATTTACCATGTTCGTGCCATATTTTTCGTCACCATATTTTGTTAAAACCATAGGTATTTAAAATTGAATATTAATTCACTTTTCGTCACCGCACAATTCCAATTCGATCGCCACCCACGATTTTTTACATCACAAAGGCAAAAGAAAAACACACACAATTTGATGGCGGGGCAGACGTAAATATCGCAATTATTTTCCGGATTAATGAAATACGTCGGTCATTAGAAACAAAGTGAGAAAAAAATATGTATAAAATGTCAATCATCAAATGCTCTACAAATGGAAAATAAACATTGCATAAATTAAGGTTTTGCTATGTTCTTGACAATCATTTTAAATTGGCTGCGAGTTTATTGAAGTTGAGAAACTTAAGAAATATTGTGAATCAATAAAAATGTGCAAAATAATATCTATTTCTTCGTCGAATTCACAATTCATATAAGTTTGAAGTTCAAACTTTGAACTTTTATTGTCGATGAAATGATTTGAGAGCAAGGGGAAATATTTTTCGAAAAGTTTTCAGAAATAAACAACAAAACTAAACTTAAACATTCGTATCGAATAATTCAGTATGTTGTATCAACAAACATGCTTGATTTCTTCGAATGACATAATGGTTTTTGCTTTAATAATGATTATTCTTTGCTGTCGCCATATATAAATCTCAATTTAGCCAAAGGCAAAGAAACAAATGTCAAATTTGATTCGAAATATTTAATATATTTTTCACATGAGCAAAAATGTTATCGTAAGTACATGGAAAGTTTCTTTTTTTTTCACCATTTATTGAATCGTATGATGATAAATGTGGTTGGCAATAATATATTAATGATGATCGAAATCAATAATAATAATGAAAATAATGATGGTTGGACTTCTGATTCCATTATATAAACCCCCAAATGACAGTCGGGACTCTCATAATGGCCATGAGGGCTTTTGTGCTGAACGATTATAATGTTTCTGCTGACATATAGTATATCTATCGAAGCGTCCAACAAAACCAAAACCCTAAAGTATTCTATGTTTGGTGGTCAAATGATATTTTCCAATTAATTTCTTGTAATCAAAAGCTGAAAATGAACATTTGTAGAAGCTTTTTTTAAAAATAGCCACATTGAATAGAGGTTTTTCTGGTTTTTGGTTCTATCAAATGAAGTAATGCTTGATGTAAGCTTAAGTAGAAGCTAAACTGATGAGTCGTGAAAATTGTTCATCTTTCGGGAACTTGATTATCGAGAATTTACCACATTTTTGACTTTCGGGAAAATCTTTCGAGAAATAATTGGAGGAAAACTAATTTCCCGTTTGATTTATTCAAACGATTATGCTATTTGAAAACGAAAACGATTTGCAAAGCTTGTCGATACATCAAGCAATAGTTGTTGTGGATACCATTGAAATCACGACCCAGGCAATTTGTAACCGAATTTCTGACGTAATTATTTTTATAAATGAAATGAAATTGGTGTTTCAGGAAATGATTTGTCCCGTAGCCATGAAACGACACCACACTTATTTCTCCGCGAAAAATAACAAAGTCGCTTAATTATGGGTTTTATTTATATCTTAATTGGAGTTGGATTTCAATAATTCACAGAAATTCAAAGCGAACTTTTTGAATTGGGCTCAAAACATAAATTTGTTGATTTGTAATATGAACGTTGTTTTCTTTAGCCATATTGCTTCTGACACGGGTCAAACATCACAAAATAAACACGATACAAAAATGGGTAAATATTCCATTTTGTCGTCCAGCATATTCAAAACAACAGTAATTGATATTGATGTTGATTGAAGTATATTTTGCATAGAAAATAGCGGAAGTTTGATATATTCAATATGACAATGATGACGTGCTTATAATAACATAAAAAGTTTGTTGCGTGTTTGGCAAAGACTTTTTAGTTTCGTTGTCTAATCAATCATTTTGTTTCACAAGTTTTTCCTGTGTCCAGCCATAAAAATGCAGAGCATAAAAGCCAAACACTAAAAGCATAAAAAAACTGTTGTTGAAGCAAAATTTAACCGTATAAACGGTGATGCTTTTGATATACATACATGTTGTGAACAAAAAACTTGAGCATAGTTCAATTGTTTTCAATGGAAAAAATGTGTATATGTGTGTAAAAGTATAATGTTGATAGGAGCATTTGGTTCACGAGACTAATGTGCACAATTTCTGTCATTTACTATATTGCCATGCAACCACAAAAACCGAAGCCAACCATCAATACTGAATACACTTCTAACGGAAAAACATCAATCTTTCAAAGGGATCTACAAACATTACACGAATGAATGTGTCTGCGCGTGTGTGTGTGTGTGTGTGTGCATGTTCACAACAAATGTTTTATGTTTTGCATCGTAAATGCCTTCCATCTCTTTCGCGCCAAGCCATCATTTGCAATCTTGGACTTTCTTAATGTTCAACGACGCAAAGATTCGCTATGCCAACAAAAGAGCACATTATGCCTCTCAACTTTGTGGTTTCTTTTTCTTCTCCAGGATTATTTATTTGACACAGATCCACATGTTCATCATACACACAAACACATGCTCAAAGTTTTTCCTTTTTCCTGACTTTTTTTCAAGTCACTTTTGTGTGCGGTACCTTTTGATAAATCCACGAGAGCGACAGACAAAAGCAAGCACATACACTGGTCGCATTGAAGAGCATGCGAACGGTTAAGAAAATATGTTCGAAATGAAATTGGTTGCGTCGTGTGTATGTTTATTGGCCCAGTACTATCGTACAATATTGGATCTTTGAGTATACAAAATAAATTGCGTTTTATTGAAAAATTTATTGAAGGTCGACCATACGTGCGATTACGTTTTCGACGAATAAGGATTATCATTCGTGATATAAAAAAACGCACATTCACGATTTATCTTCCTCTGCGGTTCGAATCAATCCTCGATTTATTTAGCATAGAGATCAAAACCTTTGCTGCGCAACATCCATACCATTCGTGTTTCCATCAGATTTGTGTGACAAACACACACATTTCAATTGAGTGAAGAAACGAACAACAAATACAGATCAC